CAGCAGGATGCGGCGCAGGTGTCTGCCCCACTGCTGCTATTTAAGCCTCATTGCTAAGTAGCTCCTAACCTTTCCCTTCATCCTCTCTTCCCTGCGATGGCTGGCCGCCCGAGGAAGAGGAGTGCAGGCAAGCAGGACTAGCAGCTCCCACCCAGGGGACTGGGCTAATGTCATTTACTCCAGTCTCCACCAGCTGGATCTTGGCTGGGGAAAGATGCCGTGCACAGACAGTCGGTGAGCGCATGTCCTTGGGCTGCATGCCCAGAGAAGGAGGCAGAGAAGCCTGAAGAAGGGGTTAAAGCCGAGCCGGTGAGCGGGAGCAGCAGGGAGGCCCGGATGCAGAAACCTTCGCGCAAAATGGGGTTGGCAATTGGGGCTGGCTGAAGGCACTCGGCTGTTTGCTATTAAATAATGCAGCCTGATTGATTGGCCTGAAAAGTGCTGTGTTGCGGGGTCAACTTGCTGGGGTTATAGTTCTCTGCTTAGATTGATGATCCTCAAAGGTCGAATTCAGAAAGCAATTCCCCGGTAAAATTGATCCTTTGGATAACAAAACTTTTGCACAGTGGCAAAGGGCCGAACAGCAAGAGATGTAAGAGACCCAGGCAGAGGCAGGCAGGGTGACCGGCTGCCTCTGCTTTCTCTTTATTTAATTTTCCTTGTTTACACCAATTAGGAAGTGAGGGTCTTCTCTGGAAAGAGCAGTGCTCCATCACTTGTACATGCAGTGGCTGGGGGACACAGGTGAGCACCCACCCTGTCCCCACCCCGCTGGCAGGTGACCGTGTGGGCGCCTTTGCAGGGGCAGGAGGCAGCTGGGGGCTGTCCCGGGGGCTGGTGCTCGGCTCCCAGCCCTCCTCAGCCGCAGGCGAGCGGGGTGCCTGTGCAAGCAGGGATGCCTGACTGCCTCCGGCACACATCCGTGCCTCGCTCTCCCGGTGGCGAGAGGCTGGGTGCTGCTGCCCAGTGGAAGTTCTGTAGCTGGAGCCAAATGAAGGCTGAGCAGGTTTCACCCTCCTGTATGGCAGCAGCCTGCAGAAGCACCCCAAAACGGCTGCTTGGCCCTTGGTGGGGGATGCCAGGAGTGAGGACGTGCTACAGGTGGAGTGGGGTGATTGAGGCTGCCCCAGGCCACTGTGAGGGACCAGGTGGTGGTCACCCAGGGCTGACGTCCCCACTGCAAGACTAGCAGGGTCAAGGACCCAAGCCTTACCCTCCACATCATCCCAGACTTCAGAGGAAACAAGGGGGATGCCAGGCCCTGCCTTCCCTGTACCCCCTCTCCTGGGGCTCTTAAACCCCCCCCCTCGGCTGGATTTTAAGGCTGTGCCCTGGAGCTGGCTCCCATCCCCTCGCTCCCACCAGAGGGAGGAGGGAGGAGAGCTGCAGCTCCCAGAAGCTGTTGCTCTGATTCAGGCTGAGCCCAGAGTGGCAGCGGTGAGGTTTTGACCTGCTTTAACCTGCTAGCTTGCCTGCTTGCCTCCCGTCTGCTCATTTTGAAGCGAGCGAAGGAGGCCGTGCTGCGTGGACGCTGAATAATTCAGTCAGGCTCCGCAGCACCCCAGGGCTGGGCATCGCCTCTGCCAAAGGGCTGGGACAGCTCAGCTGCAATCCTTCCTCACCAGAGGCAGAGGGGACACGGAGCGGCTGAAGTACAGCATCCCTCGTGTGTAGGTGCTGGCCAAAGCCGCTTCCTTCCCCCGGATGCTCAGATTTGTGGCTTGCTCCCAGAGCACTGATGCTCGGAGGCTGTTAGTGCTTTCAGCCGTGATGCAGCATCTCCAGCTCTCGCTAACACACAGATTCAAGTGGAACATGCTGAGTATCTCAGCCTCTGCTCCATGGACCACATTTTCTTCCTTCCTTCCTTTGAGAGACTGCAATATTCCCTTTTCTTCCTTCCTTCCTTTGAGAGACTGCAATATTCCCTCTCCTGCTTGGTCAGAGACAGGGCAGGGTTGTAAGACGGGGAGAGAGACTCTTCATCCAGCTTATGCTTAGCCCCTGAGCGGGGTTTTCTAGAATTAAGGACAGGGAGGGGAGGGAAAGAAAAAAAAAAAAATCATACATGAGGTCAGCTTATCCAGCCATGCGTGCGGAGGAGCACAGCAAAGGCGGCCTCACTGGGTCAGGCAGGCGGCGGGAGAGCATCCTGGGGGGCTCCAAGGGAGAGGGGGAGAGGGGCCAGGGGCTGGCGGGTGTGCACGGTGCCAGCACCTGGGAGGAACCTGGCTCACAGCTCCCAGCCCAATCCAGGTTGTTTATCCCAGCACAGCGAGAGCACAAGAAGCAGCAGGCCATGTGTCCTCTATCTCTGCAAGCGGTTTGTTCCCCCTAGCTCTGCACCTCTCGAGCAATTAGCCCTGTAAGATGAAGCGTTGCCTGGTCAGACTTCTCTACCCATTCACATAAGGCACAGCATTGCTGTTTTCTAATGGTTCTGCTTCTGAGGGTGTAAATTATTGCACGAAGCAGCGAAAATCCAGCGGGCTGTGCTAGGGATCCACTGTCTGGAATGAAATGAGAGGGTTTGGTCCCCAAAGTCTCTGCCTGAGCTCAGGCCCAGGAATCACTGGAGCCATGCGTGAGTTATGGGCTCAGGCTCTGCGCTCTGCGCAAGTCACCTCCGGAGTCTGAGCAACAGGAATTATTGTGCATGGAGATAATTATTCCCTGCATACTGCACTACGGCTCATTAAAAGTTTGTTAATGTTTGCAAATTGCTGAATAGTGGTTTTTGTTGTTGCCTTCTCTGATGAGGCGGGGAGTAAAAGGCAAATTCTGATGGTGACTTGTTCTCTGTGTTATTTTGGTCGCAGCAGGCTGGGGCTGTGCTGCACGTAGGGAAAAGGGTTTGTGTTGTGCAACTTCACACCATGGGAGAAAAAAAACACTCCTGACTTTAGCACACTGCACAGGCATCAAGGGGCTGAGTCCCACCAGCCTTAGCTATGCTTCTCCATCTAAAACTCAAGACAGTCCTCTTCACCTCCAAGTAAATTCCTACATCTGAGCTAATCACTCAGATTTCTGAAAAAATGTATACGACTCCGTACTGGAGTTTAAGCTGGAGAGGTTGACTTACCATTGAATGATCTGTGCTACTGCAGTCGGATGGTGGGAGTAAAGTATCGCTCGTCTTGGAATAGAGACTGCAAATCCACCCTGGGCGAGGATGTGGACATCATAACCCAGCACCAGATACCTGGGGACAACAGCTGAGTTCAGTGAGAAAATCCTGCGGAAGAAAACAGGAAAGGGGTAACTGGCCCAGCTTCGCCTCTGCGTTTTCATGCACACAGAGAACACTGTGCCAGGGGCAAGGAGGAGTTGCAGTAATACCTGACAGCTCGTCTCCTGTCTTGCTCTTCCAGGTGTAAATGCAACCTCCACGCTAACCTGTGCACCTTCAAAGAGGGCAGCCTTCAGTGCGAGTGCGAGCACAACACCACGGGGCAGGACTGCGGCAAGTGCAAGAAGAACTTTCGCTCCAGGTCTTGGCGAGCAGGATCCTACCTGCCTCTCCCCAATGGGTCCCCCAACGCATGTAAGTAACCTGCAGCGAGCCAGTCCTGGCTGCGCTCCCACCTTGGGCTGCACCACGCCCACAGATGGGAGCAGGTTCTCATCTTGTCCTTCTCAATCTCATATCAGTGCAGGATGCTCAGCTTTTGAAAGGGGAGTGGGTCTTTACCCATATCTTGGTGCACAGAGAAATGAGAGAGGATCTGGGTGGAGGCAGAGGTGATTTGTTGGCTACTGGTAGATGAGTGATGAGTCCAAATGATGGTCAAGAATAGGAAGGATGATCTTGGGCCAAGACAGGTCCATGGCTTTATGGCAATGCAAATTACTGTCCTTTGAAAATGACATTATTTAGCTACAGTAGTCTGGCTGTCAAGTAGTCCATGGGCTCAGCACTAGCGCTGCTCAGCTGCGTGAGTGCAGGCTGCTCTCTGGATTGCTTTCTGGATCCCGTTCTCCGTGTGTTGGTATTTCAGGCAAGCGCCGCGAGCTGTGGTCCCTCTGCGCAGCTCCAGTCTCATCCAATTGCCTGCTGGAGCAAGGCACTGACAGAAGCAAAGCGTGCAGATGAGATGAAGGATGCATACCCACCATCATTCAAGCAGGGGAATTGGGGCAGGAAACATCACAGATGGGCCAGTTTCTCCTGGGTTTCTGTCCAGTCCACATTAGCAGACTTGTTTAAATGTCACGGAGCCACAGTAGCCACTCCAGCCTTTCAAGCAGTGGCTTTGAGCGTTACCAAAGAGAATCTTTTCTCTCCCTCCCCCCCAATTTTTTGAAAGATTTATGTGCTTTAAGATGATCAAAGCTGAAATTCAGGCTCCGAAGGCCGTGACGGGAATGTTTTGTGTGTGCCAGGGCTGGTAGACAAGCAGGTTCTTTGAAAGGGAACGAGCTTGTCAGCTCCCACCAAGCGGCTGCATTGCTTCAAAGGAGCCTAGGAGA